TTTAATCGTCTATTACACGCAAACGAAAAACGAGTAAATTTTTTTTGTAAAACTTGTTTAAGTGGGTTTCAGAGAAGGGAAACGTTAGAGTATCACAAAACTCTTTGCAATGAAAACAAACCGCAGAAAGTTAGCATTCCTAAAAACACACTTCTTAAATTTACAAATTTAATGAAAATGCATTATCATCCTTTTTGTGTCTTTACCGATTTTGAATGCCTCACGCGCAAGATTCAAACTGCGTTTCCTTCTCCGCAACAGAGTCATACTACCCCAATTGAACAGCATATTCCTATTAGTTATACCCTAATAGTTACTGATGTGGAAAACAAGATTATTTTTCATGAATATTTTTGCGGAGAGAATGTAATGGAACATTTTTTTCACATCGTTGAGCGAAATCAAATCTAAAATTTTGCAAAAGATGAAAGAGTGTTTACCGATGCAGGAGACGTCGGAAAAAAGTTACGATTCAAATATATGTCATATACGTTTGAATCATTTCTTAGAAGGCGATGTTCGGGTCAGAGATCACTGCCACTGGAGTGATGGGCATGTGAGAGGTCTTGCACATCGCTCCTGTAATTTGAATTTTAAAGTGTCAAACTACATTCCGGTGGTAATTCATAATTTCAGGAATTATGATAGTCACCTGTTACTAAAACACATGCCGAAAATGTATGCAAATAAAGTTAACATTATTCCGGTGAATTTGGAAAAATTCACCATGTTTACACTAGATGAAATGAAATTTATTGATTCGTTTCAATTTTTAGATGCGTCTTTGGACACTTTGGTGTCGAATTTGAAAACGTCACAACATGAATTTAAATTGTTTAATGCATTTTTTGAGAAAAATCCCCAACGAGAATTGTTATTGCGGAAAGGCGTATTTCCTTACTCATATTTTGCGTCAACATCGGTGTTGGATGAAACTTCGCTTCCACCGCAGAGCGCGTTTAATAATGTATTACAAGGGAGAAGCAGTTTCCGACGAAGATTATGTACATGCCCACACACGTGTTTCATTCGTTTGGATGTAACACTTTTGCCGATTACTTAGAGTTATATCAAAATACAGATGTTATTTTGCTAGCCGAAGTATTTTTATCCTTCAGACGCACCGCTCTAAAATATTACCAGTTGGATCCTGTACATTTTATAACGGCTGCCGAATTAACGTGGAATGCCGGACTGAAAGCGTCTAAAATTGAATTAGAGCTTCTAGGAGATGTGAATCAATACATTTGGTTTGAAAACCAAATGCGAGGAGGTATTTGTTTTCTGGGTAGACGTTATGCTCTTGCAAATAATCCTTATATCCCCGAGAGTTATAAACCCGATTTACCACACAGCTATATCTTAGCCTTAGACGCAAATAATCTATACGGGTGTGTAATGAGCCAGCACCTGCCATTGGGAGGTTTTTACTGGTTAAAGGAAAATGAGGTGGAGGCGTTTGATATTTTGTCTTGTGTTGAAGACGGTGATGTGGGGTATATTATCGAATCCGATCTGTTATATCCCTCCCATCTGCATGACCAACACAATGATTTACCGCTAGCACCGGAACATTTTGAACTCACTTTTGACATGCTATCGCCTTATACGCCAAAACCCTGAGCAAAAAATTTCAGTTAGAGACGACACTTCCATGCAAAAAATTATTACCCAATTTTTTTTAAAAAAAAAAAACTACATCGCTCATTATTTAAATCTAAAGTTTTACGTAGAACAGGGTTTAATAATTAAGAAAATTCATAGAATTTTAGCTTTCAAACAACGAGCGTGGCTTAAAGAATACATTGCTTTCAATAATATGAAAAGACAAAATGCGTCTAGCGAATTTGAAAAATCTTTCTTTAAAAAGATGAATAACGCTTTCTATGGAAAAACCTGTCAAAATGTTAGGAAACGTATTCGCGTACAGGGCGTTTTTTAGTAGTGAGGAACAATGCCAAAAAAAATTAAACAGTCCTCTGCTGGAATATTTTGAAATAATTAATGAAAATTTTTCAGTTTTCAAAATGAAAAATCCAAATTTGTGTCTAGATAAACCGATTTATATAGGTTTCAGCGTTTTAGAATTAGCGAAGTTGCACATGTATAAATTATTCTATTCCCATTTTAAACACTTTTACAAAGAAAAATGCGAGTTGTTATACACAGATACAGATTCTTTGTATCTCTATATAACAACTGAAGATGTATATAGTGATTTAAAAACGAATTTTTTAAATATTTTGGATTGCAGTAATTTCGAACCCAATCATATAATGTTTAATGAAGAGAACCGTGGAAAACTGGGATTTCTAAAAAGTGAGACACTCACCCCCATATCGGAATTTGTGGGTTTGAAATGCAAAATGTACGCATTTCGTTTCGGTGATACTGTTAAAAAGACCGCGAAAGGAATCAAAAGGAGCGCGCTCAAAAACATTGGATTTGAAACGTATAAAAACGTTTTCGAAAATGCTTCCCTGATTAGGAATTCTCAATATTCAATCATTTCAAAAAAGCACGAACTGCAAACGATTTTTCAAAATAAAGCTAGCCTCTCGGGATATTATGACAAAAAATATTTGTTAGATGATGGAATTCAATCATTGTCTTATGGTCACTATAACACGCGTGAAGAAGACATGAATTAAAAAAAAATGATGGAACTTTTTTGTAACATTTTATTGTAGAGTGTGACATTGTATTTTTGCAACTTATATTTTTTTTATGCTAATGATCGACAAAAAACAAAAATGTGTTTCCCTCCCATAGAATACCCAGAAGATATGGCTTTATTTCAACCAATTTCTTTGCAAGATATGTGTATTCAAACTATTTTATCTTCGATATTATGTATAGCTGAACTGTATAATGTAGAACTGAATATTCCTCGTATGATTTTAAGAGATATAATAGAGAAAGGTCGATTCTGGATTGATTTTGAAAGTAGTTTCTCCTTAGAGAACAGAGATGTATTTTGGGATGAAAGTTTAACTCTCTATGAAAGAATTCGATTTAATAAGTGGTTTTCTAAACAATTTATTGCCTGCCTGGTTTTTCTTTGATGATGATGTTATATTTCTTTTACACCTAAAGATTGCACATATCACATTTGTAAAACATGTAATTGTTCAAAATAATGAGTCTAATATTTATTTGAAAAGCTGCAACAAATGTTTAGAATTGTGGTTACGATGTCAAACAGACACTACCAGAACGAAATGTAAAATTTTCAGAAAATTCAATCATTTCTTATGTTATAATGAAAGGGATACCCTTTCTTATATGCGAAATGAAGATAACTGGTGTGAGATATGTAAGCAAAGTCCTCTGTATTTCATTTGCGACGAGAATTCATGTTGCATTTCTTTTGGAAACTTGATACACGAATGTTCCCATAACCATGATATGTAATAAAAAATTTGAAACTTTTTCGTTAAATTTGTCAATTGTTAGAATCTGTATCCTTGGCGATCTTCTGTGTATCAGCCCCCCTAGAGAATTTCTTAACATATACTTGTTGAAAACGATCCGGATGGTCCCCCTACCTACAACTGCACAAGGGGAAATTGAGCTTCCAGATCAATCTCTTCCACGTCCTTCATTCATAATTGGAAAGTTATGGACTGTATCACTTTAAGTGATCATTGTTATATCTCTTTTGAAATTACGTATCAACATTCTAGCTCAACTCAAAGAGTCAAATATAAACTTACACAAATGGATTGGCTCTTACTGAAGGCAAAAATTGGTCACTTTTTTGGTTCAATGGAATCTTACTTGCCTAAAGATACAGTTGATCTTAATCAACTTATAATTAAGTGGACTCAGAAAATACAGGAATACTGTGACTTGGCAACCCACGCCAAGGGAAAATATGTTAAAACTCAACACAAAGGTGTCCCTTGGTGGACCCCGGAACTCTCAATATTACGAAAAAGAATCCTCGCTTTGAGAAAGCGTTATCACAAATGTATTCATGATGACGAACTAAGGGCACACTATAAGCAAGTCTATGAAAAAGACCTTGCTCTCTATAAAAGAAAGCTTATGCAAGCCAAAAGAACAACCTGGAAAAGATATCTGGAGCGTCTAAGTCCTAGTTCACCCTTCGGGGTACACTATGACATTGCTAAGGGGACTATGCAATCCCCTCTACAATTAAAAGCGTTACTCAAACCAGATAAAACCAAGACTTCCACAATAGAAGAAACTATACGTTTCCTAATGGATTACCACTTTCCTAAAGATATAATCAGCGAAGACACGGAGTTTCATACGACAATTCGTAACAACTTAAGGAATCCATATAATTCAATAAATGATGTTCCGTTTACGATTCCAGAAGTGGAAAATGCTATCAAATCCCTCAATCCAGGCAAAGCACCTGGAATGGACAATATATCTAAAGAAATTATAGCTGAAGTTTTCTATGCTAACCCACAATTACAAGTAGCGTTACTTAATGAACTCTTCCGTCGAGGAATATTTCCTAACTGCTGGAAGACAGCGAAATTAGTATTATTCTCAAAAGAAGGAAAAAATGGTGAGCTTCCTGATGCTTACCGCCCTATTTGCTTGCTTAACGCATGGAGTAAAGTCTATGATAAATTAATCACTAACAGATTGACTTATTTCTTAGTATCGAATTCCAAATTAAGTGAACAACAATATGGCTTCATGGCTTCACGGCGGGAAAATGCTCAGCAGATGCCATCAAGGACAACATAGTCTCACAAATAGAAGCAAACCGACGTAATAATAATTACACCAACGTTATCTCTTTGGATATCAAGAGTGCATTCAACAATATTTGGTGGCCGTTCCTACTACAGGAACTCCGCAATCTGGGATGTCCTCTAAATATTTATAAAGTTATTGAAAGTTTATTGGATAATAGACATATAATCTATGAAATAAATAATGTTCAATACTCCATAAAACAAGAAAAAGGATGTGTACAAGGATCCAACTCTGGACCACTATTCTGGAATATAGTAATGAATATAGCTTTAAAACTCGAATTTGAAGATGGAATCCACATCCAAGCTTATGCGGACGACGTTTCACTCCTAGTAACAGGATCTATGCATATGCAAATTCAAACCAAGGCAAAGTTGGCGCTTCAAAAACTATCAGAATGGGCACTCAAGTGCAAACTTCAATTCTCTCCCGAAAAGTCAAAGTCTATGTTTATAGCAATCAAAAAGCGTGGTGCAGCCTATTCAGCACCGACAATAAAGATGAACGATCATACCATTAAGCAACAAAAATCCATTCAATATCTTGGAATAGTCATAGATGAATGCCTTACCTGGCTACCTCATCTAGATTATATTAAATCTAAAGTTTGTAAAATAATGAACAATCTTCTTAGATTACTTGGGATGCCCAAACCAGTTCTGAAAGAACTTTATAAACGTGCAATAGAGCGTACCATAGTATACACATGTCCTGCCTGGTGGTACCCACCTACGGTAAAAATGCGAAACAAAACAAACTCTATACAACGCATAGCACTTCTTGCAATGACCAAAAGCTATAAGACTGCCCCTACTGCAGCTCTTCAAGTGATTGCTGGAATTATGCCGCTTGATCTTAAATTGGACATGGAAAGCATCATCCAACGTACCAAACGAGGATGGACTGACTTTAAATATGAGGACTTAGAACTTTCACGGGATCAGATTGAATTCCCAGTACCTAAATGGCATTCTCATCCAGCTCATATTCAAGTCTTCGGATGGGACAACAAGCCTCCAATCAATAAAGGTTTAGAAATTTATACGGACGGTTCAAAAAGTGAAGACGGCACTGGAGCTGGCTTCTGTTCCTTCATGAATGGAGTTTGTCACGATCAATTTATGTTTAAACTGGATAAGACTAGTACAGTATATCAAGCTGAAACTTTAGCATTAAAGTCGGCATTACTATGGTTAAAATCACACCCCAGTCCTGCGCATATATATTCGGATAGCCAGGCTGTTTTAAAGTCTATCCATAAATACAATATCTATAATCAGAACATTATCGCCATAAAGAAATTACTGGCTTTTACAAAAGCAAAGCTTCATTGGATAAGAGGACACCAAGGCACTGCCGGCAATGAAAAAGCCGACGAGCTAGCCAAACAAGGGATTTACTTGAACACGTACCTAGACTGCAAGATCCCTATGAGTAATAGTATCATAGCATGGACAGGACGACAAACGTTCACACTTCTACCGAATGTTTCGGAGAAACGGCATTTCAGTGATTTTTTTTAAATCAAGTTATCACTAATCACGGAGCCTTTCCGATTTATATTAACAGATTCAAACTAAAGGAATCTACATGCAAGTGTCAATGTGGTAGTGAATCCGCAGATGCACTTCATATGATTATAGACTGTTCCAGTGTATCAACAAAACGTAGAGAAATTTTCAAACAAAATATAACTTTAGAAACTCTAAAACAACTAATTAAGAACGACAAGGGACGATCTTTGTTATCAAGTTTTATGGAATACATATACCATAATGAATCAGATCTGTACTTATAAATTGATTGTATTATATAATATTATTGTACTTATATTGGAATACTCATATCACAATGAATTAGATCTGTACTTGTAAATTCAATCGTATCATGTAATATCTTTGTACTTTTATTTGCCATGTTATTAATCATTTAATTATTGTAATACTTAATATTGATTCTTTACTTTGTTCTTCCTATCATTCTATGTTGCATTGTATAACTCAATTTATGTTCAAAAAATAATTTGTTTTGTAAATATAAAAACATGCTATGTAATGTATTTTTTCAATAAAGACGTTGGCGAGGCCAACACATCTCCTAGTCAGAAGACCTCAAAATTCTAACTAGGTCTTTCAAAAATTCTAATTGGCATTATTTGATCTTTGAGCTCTTGCTCCAAAATTGAAAATTTCCTTAGCCTATTGGCTCTGGTGATACTTCTGCTTAAGAAGTGCGGACCAGACAATCCATTTTCATGATGGGAGTTTTCTTTTTCCCAATTATAGTCTCTCCCTCCTTTTGAGAATTATGTTAAAATCCCACTTTAAAAACGTTTTAAACTGTTTATTTAAGTTTTTAATTTTTGATACCTTTATATATTTTACAACAGTAATATGTTTTTTGTTTCATTTGATTTTTTTCATTGTATCATGCATACAACAAGGACAATTATTTTGTATTAAGCTTTTGTAATCCTTTAGAAAAAAACTAATAAAAAAAATGGAGCTCATCCAAGAAGTCCTGTTTTAGTATCTCCTTGGAGGAATTTACATTTCATTTAATTTCTTCAAGGCAGATGCTTTTACCGGAAAACCAAACAATGGAATAGAAAATGCAGCTCATAAATAAGTGTAAAAATATATTATTTATCTAAATATGATATTTTTTTTCCGGAGACAAAAAAAAATTGCATTTGAAAGGAAAAAAAATCATTTTATTTGATCAAATTGTTTGTGTTACACACAAGTGCGATGTAATTCTCGCTTAATAGCATCATCATTCAGAATAACAAAAGTAAGCAATTTTAATTGCATAGCTTTCATCTCTTATACATTCACTTTCATATTCAGTTTTTTTTTCCGAAGAAACACAATCCAACATGTTATTATACAATTTACTGCATGCCGAAAAAAGAGTTAGTTGTTCATTTTGAATGTATAAGTAGCAATATCCATATTGTTGATGTGGTTGATTGTCAGCTTTATGAATATGTTAGACCACGTCGGCGTTCTTCAAAATTTTCAGGTGATGATGATTTCCTTTCCCGCTAGTGTTTTAATCGTAAAGAGCATTACAAATGCAGTCGCTTAGGTTTTTAAAGAAAATATGATTAATTTTTTCAAGTATATTTCCCCTCAGGGGCTCACTCTTGTGAGTACGGGTGTGGCAATCCCGAGGTACCCTAGTCCTTCAAGGATTCATCGTCCTGGTGAGACGGGTGTCACGACCTGGAGCCCCAGTAATCTAACCTCTTTTGCGTCTCCTCTCCTCTTGGCTGGAACTTTTTTTCCTTAACTTCTCCCTTGTCGTTTCTCTCTTCAGAGTTTGGGGCTCGTCACGAGAGACTAGAACAGCCCTTGTCTCTAGTTTTCGAGTGGCGAGAAAACTGCCCACGTGTTTGCCGTGCGTGGAGACCCGTGTCGCTGCAGTTATCTTCCAGTATACACAGATGGATCCAAGTGAAAAGATCATGTCGGGATGGCATTTGTAATTGAAGATCACATGGAGGGCCGCCCCTCACTTTTGTGAGTACGGGTGTGGCAATCCCGAGGTACTTTAGCCCTTCAGGGGATCATCTTCTTGGTGAGACGGGTGTCACGATCCTGGAGCCCCGGTGATCTATTTTCTTTTTTTTTTCCGTCTCCTCTCTTCTTGGCTGCAACTTTTCCCCTTCCCTTCTCCCTTGTGGTTTCTCTCTTCGGAATTTGGGACTCGCCACGAGAGACTGGAACAGCCCTTGTCTCTAGTTTTCGAGTGGCGAGAAAACTGCCCACGTGTTTGCCGTGCGTGGAAACCCGTGTCGCTGGAAAGGAGGGTCCTGGAAGTTGAGAGGCTAGGTACTTTCCCCAGCACACTACTTTGGCCTCTGCTTCAGCTAAACGGGAGGCACCTTAGTCGTCCTCAGGGGTGTCAATCGGCTGGTCACTTGTCCTTGTGTCAGTGGCTTGGTGATAAGCTCTCGGGGTACCTGCTTTCGGGAAAGCCGACTGTGGGACTTCAGTTTGCGTATAGGTCCGGCTAGCCCTAACATAGGAATCTGTGTTCCCTTGTTGGGCTCCATGGTGGGCGGGGCCGTCGAATCCGAATCTTTCCTCTCTTCAATATGGCAAACTCTCATATTTATCTCATTAAAGACTTCGAAGCGAGCCGAGTCGGTCAAAAAACTAGTCCTTACTTCAAATAACCAAACTTGGTAAAGCAACTGTCACTGTAACAGGTCATAAGACATTGAATTTTTTTCTCGTGGCGTAATCTCGGAATTCGACCTTCTGTCTGTTCCTGAAGAAGAGATCGTTTCCGAGTTATCCTGACCAAAATTCTGTGCTGCTAGGCGGATCAAGATGCGTAAGGAAGGTAAGTTGATTGACACGAAACACGTGATCCTTACCTTCAACACGCCTGATCTGCCTAAGAATATTAAGGCCGGATATCTTAAATTGTCCCTGTAAGACCTTATATTCCAAACCCTATGCGATGCTTCCAATGCCAGCGTTTCGGCCATTCTAAGATGTCTTGTCGTGGCAGCCTCACATGCGCCTCGAAAATCACAGATTGGCCACGATTTCGAAAATTGTACCGCTGCGGCCTTGTGTATAAATTGCAAAGGTGACCACCCAGCATTTTCACGCCTCTGCCCAAAATGGAAATCCGAAAAAGAAGTACAGACTTAAAAGTTACTAGGAACATCTCGTATGCCGAAGCCAGAAAACTAGTTCAAAGCACACAGCTCCAATCAAACAAATCATATGCCAGTGCCGTTAAAACAACACGTAGCCACCCAAACATCAATAAGTAACACAGACTCCACCAAAAAAACCCAGCAACCTGCAACAAGAAAAAGGAAAATGCAACACACGTTAGTACAAAATAAAGAAATAGTTATTCAAAGCAAACCAAAAAATGTCTCCACAAAATAATAAATAAAAATAGAAGTCCCAGCAATAGCTCTGTGATGAAATGATTTCTGAATCTGCGGATTCAGACAGTATGGAAGTGGAAGAGGGTCTAGAAGTTCCCAAGCATCTACTTCCGGACAAAACAAAAAGAAACACAGAAGAACAAACATCAAATTCATAATGGCCACCCTCGTCTCATGGAACTGTCGCGGTTTCCACCGAAATTTGCTTGACATCAAAGTCTATAATCAATGCTTATCATCCTGTGTGCTTCGCAATACAGGAAACAAATCTGAAACCAGAACAACATGCAAAACTTCGGAGGTTTTCTTTCGTCAGGAAGGATAACCTTGCAGGTGAGCGTGCCAGTGGAGGTGTAGGTCTCCTCACCTCACTGGATTATCCCTCAAATGTGCTTTCCTTTGACGACATCCCTCCAAGTTGTCGCTACTCAAAGTAAATTTTGATATTGTTGTTTCAGTCGTTTCTCTTGTATTTGCCTCCAAATGAGCACATTGATCAGCAAGATTTAAATGGAATCTTAATAGAGCAGCTGCCTGAGCCTTTTATCATAATAGGAGATTTTAACGGCCATAGTCCGCTCTGGGGTAGTAAAGATACAAATTGCCGAGGAAGACAAATTGAGCAGATGATCGAAGATCATAGCCTTTGTCTCCTGAATAATGGGCAAGGATACTTACTTCCATGAGCCTTCAAGGACATTCCACGCTCTCGATCTTGCCATCTGTTCACCATCTCTGTTGCCATTTTGCACTTTTAGTGTCGGAAATGATCTGTACAACAGCGATCATTATCCCATTTTTGTGTCTCTTGCACGAAGAGGAGCAAACCCCATGTCGAGACTCCCTCGGTTTTATACTGGACAGGGCAGACTGGGAACTCTTCTCTTCCATTGCAGAGATCACAGAGGTAATGGTAGAAGATGTGCATATCGATGACGCTGTTGAAGCTGTTACTAATACTATTATTCAGGCAGCTATGCTTTCGATTCCTAGAACATCAGGAAAAATACTAAAATATTCGAAACCATGGTGGAATCGCGACTGTCATGAAGCACTGAAAAAACAGAAAAAAGCATGGGGTATTTTTCGTAGATATCCTACTCTGCGAAACCTCATAGCCTTTAAAAGAGCCAAAGCAAATGCACGAAAAGTAAGAAGGCAGAGCCAGAGGGATTCCTGGATTTCATATGTGTCGTCAATAACATCCTCTACGCCTAGTAAGCGGGTTTGGGAAAGAGTTCGAAAAGCATGCGGAATATATAAAGACCACTCACTTTCCTTTTTGGAAAAAGATGGCCGAGTGATTAGCTCCATAGAAGAAATTGCGAATACTATTGGTGAGACATTTGCTGCCGTTTCTTCCAGCAGAAACTATTCACCTGCATTTCTTCTCTATCAAGCAGCACTCTGAAATAAATCCCATCGCATTCAACTCTTCCAAATCTGAGCCTTACAATAGAGACTTTACTATGCTTGAATTAAGGAGAGCTTTGTTGCAGACACATAGGTCTTCTCCGGGTCTTGATGGCGTGAATTATGAAATGCTAAAGCATCTGTCCTATAAGTCACTGATTGCCCTTCTCACTCTTTACAATAGAGTGTGGA